GAACGGATCGAGACAGACTAAGTTTACAAAGATTTTATTTTACTATATTTTTGAAATATGCATTATAGAATATTCTGTAATAACACGTTATCTTTTATTTAACTTAATCCTAAATGTGTGTTTTCCAGTTAACTTTGCCGAATAGGATTTTAATAGTGTTTGCCTTTGAGTTTTAACTACTAGTACTTTTGTTTATGTTTGTCGTGCCGTGGAGCATACAACAGTGATTATTTACAGATAAACAGGCAAATTTAGGTATTCATAAAGATAAAACAGATAAAAGGGGAATCGTGCATTTATAAAATACAATGTGAAAGTTGTGATAAATGTTACGTAGGACAAACAAAAAGAAATATAAGGTTCAGTTTAAAAATACACCTATGAAACATTACAAATCAAGAATTTGTAAATCTCCGGTGGCAGATCATTTATTGACACATAATCAATCCATTAACACCATAACATTAATTAAAAACGTATATAATTACAAAGAGCTCAATATAAGGGAGGCAATAAAAATGTTTAAAAATAAGAACAATTTTACTAATGGGATCTTGTCAACTGAAAAATTCATTATTAAACTCATACTGAGGTTGCATTGAATGTCTGTGCTTTTTCAACCACGCGTTAACATTTCGACTTTTTTCATCTGTTGGAGTTGCATATTTAAATATCCAGTGTTGTGTAGCTTAAGTGTCAGTATACACTGCAGATAGTTCTTTTATAAGATACTCGTTATTCGATCCCAATATACACTCAAAATCTGCTATTGCTGTAGTCATTATTTAGTTTGTTAACTAGTACGTTGAGGATACGGATATTGTTCTAGGGAGTTTTGTTTTTTGAATTAACGTACACTAGAGTCAGTATAGGCTTCGTATTTTACAAAACCTTTAATTTTATTAATCTGTTCTTCTAGCTGACTATATCATAACTTAAAAGTTGAATCTATTGCGTTAAAATTAGTATTTAAATTTTCAATTTTAACTTCTACTCCGTGTATTTCTTCATTTATTTGTTCAATTATTTTCCTATAATTACTAAGCGTTTCAGTAATTTTTATAATATCTGTTTCTAATTCAGCTAATTTAGACTCTAGTATGCATATTTTTTTTATTCTTTTACTTTCAAATGATGAACCAAAAACATCCATTACTGTTAACGTTTGCGAGTGAACTAAAAATATTTTATTAGTTTTGCAGATTTTATTCTGCTCGGACGATTTTTTGTATTTTAAAAAGTAAGTAGTTATTACTTTTTAAAATAATGTAAACATTAATTATTAAAATTCATTATTAAACTCATGTAAACTATCAAATTACTAAAAGTACATAAGAGGTTTTTTCGATTAGGGTGTCAGTTTGTGTATAACGTTGGTAATGGTAATATTGTTTCCGAAATACGTATCCGCGAAATTTGTTTTGACTTTATGAGTTAAATTATTTTTAGTTTGAAATTAATTATATTTATAATATAGTTTTAATTTTAAATAAAATTAGCCACAAGTGATAAATTTTTATTATTCACTTTTTTTTACATAAAATATTGATACATTGAAAAATATTTTTTGATGAGAATTATGAGGTGGAATTACAAATTTGAGTCTTCGGAGTCTCGAAAAAGGTGTAAAAAAAAATTAATCAAATAACGACAAATTTTATACTTTATTGTACAATTTTAAACATGTTTACTTGACAAAATTTACATTATAAATTAAGATAAAAATCCTTAGTAGTTATATAAATCAAATTATTATGTCTAAGGCTATTCATTTAACACTGGAACTCTTTAGCTATGTCATTTGCGACAATCTTCGCAGCTTTCCAAAATGTTTCATGATTCATTGTCGAAGGATCATTTAACAAATTTTGAAGTTCATTACTTTTTACGCTTTCGAAAAACGAATGATTTTCTATTGCATCTTCTAATTTTTTTTTTTCTGAAAACTCTTTATTTATGATACTTTTTAAAGCCTTATTTTGCAAAATGTCTTTTTTTAAATCATAACTTTCATCGTCATATTTTATTTCAAGTTCATCTACATTGTAAACAAAATATTTTTCCATTCTACGTTGTGATTCAATAAAATGCCAATTTAAATCAGTAGAAGTGTAAAAGGATGGTGTGTTCGAAAAATACTGTAATTCTTCTTTTATTAGAAAATTATTTATTTCATATTTTTTCATAAAATTGTTGATACACGTCAAGGAATTTTGCATATCAAGGGCCGTACTCTGAGGATAATTCATAAGTAGAGAACTATTTGTATAATACGATAATAAGTAATAATATTTATGTGCCCTGGTTTGCATTAATATTTGTAATTGTTCTAGATCTGCATTCTCCAGTAGGTTTTCATTGGATACGTTGGATGAAGTGTATGAAAATTTGCAGCAAATAGTAAGAATAACGATTGCACTCAATATTGATTTCATCGTAATTACCAAGTTTCTTGACAAACTCAACGTTTTTGAACTTTTATTGTAATATAGATAAAACGTAAAAATTTTATTACACACAAAATTATTTTTGCTAGAAAATTGTCGTGAGTATATATAAGGCAATATTTGTGTAATTAATGACGGAATTTTCTATAAAAATATTTGAAAAATATGTCTTTATTATTTGTATATGATATTTTATTAATACATTTATAAATTATGTTGTGTGCAAAAGTTGTGCTTAATTCTATTTTATAACTTTAAATTTTCTACCTTACTTATTTGCTTTCGTAATTGCAATTAAATCAAACCAAGTAGTTTTGAACATGCTATTGTACCTTATATTAGCATACGTTTATAATAAGGATACGTTTATCCTTGACTTGTATCAACAATTTTATGAAAAAATATGAAATGAATAATTTTCTAATAAAAGAAGAATTACAGTATTTTTCGAACGCACCATCCTTTTACACTGATACTGATTTAAATTGACATTTTATTGAATCACAACGTAGAATGAAAAAATATTTTGTTTACAATGTAGATGAACTTGAAATAAAATATGACGATGAAAGTTATGATTTAAAAAAAAACATTTTGCAAAATAAGGCTTTAAAAAGTATCATAAATAAAGAGTTTTCAGAAAAAAAAAAATTAGAAGATGCAATAGAAAATCATTCGTTTTTCGAAAGCGTAAAAAGTAATGAACTTCAAAATTTGTTAAATGATCCTTCGACAATGAATCATAAAACATTTTGGAAAGCTGCGAAGATTGTCGCAAATGACATAGCTAAAGAGTTCCAGTGTTAAATGAATAGCCTTAAACATAATAATTTGATTTATATAACTACTAAGGATTTTTATCTTAATGTATAATGTAAATTTTGTCAAGTAAACATGTTTAAAATTGTACAATAAAGTATAAAATTTGTCGTTATTTGATTAATTTTTTTTTACACCTTTTTCGAGACTCCGAAGACTCAAATTTGTAATTCCACCTCATAATTCTCATCAAAAAATATTTTTCAATGTATCAATATTTTATGTAAAAAAAAGTGAATAATAAAAATTTATCACTTGTGGCTAATTTTATTTAAAATTAAAACTATATTATAAATATAATTAATTTCAAACTAAAAATAATTTAACTCATAAAGTCAAAACAAATTTCGCGGATACGTATTTCGGAAACAATATTACCATTACCAACGTTATACACAAACTGACACCCTAATCGAAAAAACCTCTTATGTACTTTTAGTAATTTGCTAGTTTACATGAGTTTAATAATGAATTTTAATAATTAATGTTTACATTATTTTAAAAAGTAATAACTACTTACTTTTTAAAATACAAAAAATCGTCCGAGCAGAATAAAATCTGCAAAACTAATAAAATATTTTTAGTTCACTCGCAAACGTTAACAGTAATGGATGTTTTTGGTTCATCATTAGAAAGTAAAAGAATAAAAAAAATATGCATACTAGAGTCTAAATTAGCTGAATTAGAAACAGATATTATAAAAATTACTGAAACGCTTAGTAATTATAGGAAAATAATTGAACAAATAAATGAAGAAATACACGGAGTAGAAGTTAAAATTGAAAATTTAAATACTAATTTTAACGCAATAGATTCAACTTTTAAGTTATGATATAGTCAGCTAGAAGAACAGATTAATAAAATTAAAGGTTTTGTAAAATACGAAGCCTATACTGACTCTAGTGTACGTTAATTCAAAAAACAAAACTCCCTAGAACAATNGAAGCCTATACTGACTCCAGTGTACGTTAATTCAAAAAATAAAACGTCCTAGAACAAGATCCGTATCCTCAACGTACTAGTTAACAAACTAAATAATGACTACAGCAATAGCAGATTTTGAGTGTATATTGGGATCGAATAACGAGTATCTTATAAAAGAACTATCTGTAGTGGATACTGACACTTATGCTACACAACACTGGATATTTAAACATGCAACTCCAACAGATGAAAAAAGTCGAAATGTTAACGCGTGGTTGAAAAAGCATAGACATTCAATGCAACCTCAGTACGGAGACGTAGAAATTGAAGAACTACCGAGAATTTTAAACTCGTTAAAATTTACAGACATATTTGTAAAAGGGTTACAAAAAAGAGACATTTTACAACAGTATATGCCACACGTAAATGTCATTAACATGGAAGATATTGGCTGTCCTCGTATAACACAACTGACAACAAATAGTTCTTATCCATCATGTTTATTTCATATGAATTTAAATCCAACTTATTGTAGTTTTTATAAAATGTTTATGTTAAGACATTGGTATATTAATAATTCTTAGTACTTAAAATATTGTTATATTTCACTATAATTAAATAATGTAGTCAAATTGTATAATATTTTTAAAATAAAACTTATACGTAATATATAACATGTTTGTTGTTTATTTACCCAAAAATTCATATATATGAATAATACTATTATAATACTATTANCCAAAAATTCATATATATGAATAATACTATTATACTGATTGAGGAATGTACCATAGATTATTGTATGTAACGTTATACGTGTAAGAGGGTGATGTATTAGCTATGAACAGGCATAGTTCAATAAGCATAGTTTTTTATTACTATATGAGTCGATTAATCAATTATTTATATTTTAATCAAGGTAAATTTTTTTTTTTTATTTAATATAATTTCAACAATAAATTTTTGTACATAATAATAATAATATTGTTTACTAATAAATGTTTGTAATCTGTTTATTATTTTTACATTAGTTTATAAGATGTATCTACAAATCATAAGTTTCAATGCTGTCTTCATTCCTTAAAAATAACACTATTTAATATAAATTTAATAATTATTAGCATAATTTNTCATTCCTAAAAAATAACACTATTTAATATATATTTAATAATTATTAGCATAATTATGGTATACGTACTCTAGTTTATAATGACCGTAAGCGTAGGTAGTAATACGGTCTTCTGATATAACCCGCTTATCATCTAAACGGTTTAATGTCATTTTCATAGTCTTAATGGTGTATATTTGGTGTTGAAATGATCTGATTGACACATTTTCTCTGTATGGTGTATAAGTCGGGTACTTTACAACGGGGCAATAAGGGTCCACGGCTCTCTCATGAATGTTGTTTACAACCATCGTGCCAAATGTAGCCGCTGTTGTATGAGCTTCGCTTACTGCAGAATCCTCTTCATTCAGCATACAAACAGCGTTTCAGGTCCTAGACTGTAAANAACGTGACCACGTATCCCTTTTGCCTTAATTTTTTCTTTACCCTCCAAGTCAAAACCATAACATTTTGGTCTTAGACTAATAAACTCCAATATAGATTTCCCCGGCGCTTCGTCACTCCACAAACCAGGCACCTTTTTGTTAGCGTTTGAATAACACGGGTGACTGCTCGGCAAACCTGAAGTGTCAAGTCTAGCCAATAGGTCAGGATTTTTCTTTGCCACCGCATAAGAGTCATCACCCACGATAAAGTACACTAATGAATCTAAACAATAAAATCAAAAAATAAAATCATTTAATTTTTTCAATAAAAATATTAATTAATCTACCTGTGTCACCGTATAATAGTCGAGCACGGTCTTTGAAATATTTCTTCATTACGTTATAATGGAAATCGTATACGAGAGTTTTACTAATTTCTAAAATTGCGAAACCTACGTATACTGGTTTACAAAAATTGATAATTTTCTTTTCCAATACAAACGCTGATAAATTTTCACTGTACGTTGTACAATGTTTGAAATTATGCTTTCTAATTAATTTAGCCGCTCGTTTAGGATTAGTGACCAATTCCATTTGCGTTCTAAATTGTACACGTTCCATCATTTTACCTGTTAACAAACGAAATCGCATTAAAATTATGTTTATATATATTTTTATTTAATTTTAAAACTTACCAAAAACAGCGTTGTTCATTAATTTAAAAAAGTCTTTTTCAAAATCATTTTTGGCTTTCTGTCTCATCTCCGTGTTGAGTTGTATATATTTTGATAGACAGGCCGACTGCTTAAATTGTAAAACCTTATGCACCTGTAATTTAATGACATGTTATTATTATATTTTTAAAATATAATTTTATGAATTACCTTTTCTACTTTCAATCCGTTTGCCATAGCCTGTTTTAAATTTAAATAGTGTATAACGTAGTTTTCTTTCCGATCGAAAGTAGACAACAGTTTTTTGACCCGTGAATTAGGCGGACATTTTCGTTCAGGTAGAAACGGCATTTCGTTGTGGGCATCATGTAACTCTTTCGGGTACGACACCGTCACTTCAAGGGCCATTCCTATAGGAGAATCCGCAGGTAACTCTTCCACAGTCTTTAAAATTTTTGTTTCGTCGTCCACGTCTAACCACTTAAAGTCACCACATGGCATATGTTGAGACATACTCCAACCATACAAATTATTGACATCCAAATATATAATTTCAGATTTTTGTTGTTTAATATCATAATTAGGCGTCTTTTCATTGTTGGCTGTGGCATGTTTCAACACCGAAGTTGTCATTCTTCCCCGTATTCCTCTCTCAATAAAGAGTTTCTGTTCATAATCACTCATGAGATCTAGTGAAACGCCCGTATGCAGCAGCATAGCGTCAAAAGACAAACCGGGACTCGTAAAATAATATGCCGGTTCCAATTTATATTTTAGTAAACATAACTTGCGAAAATTCGTAAAAACATCCGCAAGTATTGTTACGTCAGTTTTCAGATACAGATCAGAGTACTCACCGAGGGTTTTACAATTGAAATGTTGCCATACGTTTTGTGCGTGTTTGTATTCGGCATCATCTATATGTGTTTCTGATAGATCATTATAAAAATCGGCTTTTGGCGGCAATTGTTTTTCTTCGAGTACATCCCAGCTTGAGGTGTATGAATACGGGTCACTAAATCAATGTCACCGTCCGATGAAAACGCTTTTGCGGTTTCTTCGAATAATTTTATGTCGGCGGCGCGCAAATTTTTAGCGAGAGCCGCTAAACTAGTACTCATAAAACGAAATGTATCGACGAAACTTAACGAAAATTTATTTGAAACAAACTTTGAAAAAGAAATATATTTTTCTTCTGTAGCGGGTATTACACTTATTCTACTAGTATCTCTTCCAAGGGCTTTAACTAAAAAGTGTCCGTCGTACGAGCTAAGATTATGGAAATATACGTTTACAAACTTGGGCGTTGTTAATTTTAAATTGCAACTGTTACAAAGTGTTTTTCTAAAACTACCTGAAACGAATATAAATATATATATATATATATATATATATATAAATTTTTCTTTTTATATTAAATACAATACATTTGACATAGTTATGTTTATGATTTACCTGTCAAATGATCATGGTCTGCTACTTTATGATTTTTCTCTGTAAAACCACCCTTACACAAGTCGCAGCAGGTTTTCTTTATATGTTTTTCAGCTTCTTCGTGTGTCATACAAATATCAACATTCGTCTTGAGTAACTCTTCAATTTTCAACGCCACTTCAGTTACGTCATCCATGAACCGATTGACTACTTCCTCCGGCTCACTGCTTTTATTTCCTCTGTATATTTTGGGCGTCGTTTGAATATTATACTGTTGCAATAATTCTATGGGTACACTGTCGGCTGCTTTTACTATGTATCCATAGCTCATTGCAACATGTTCATGAACAAAATTTGTGTTGCCTTTCGTATCATTGTTGGACTTGACCAGCAGGCTTTCAAAATCTGCATATATTGCAAATGGATGTTCCTGTGTTTTGCCCCATGACTCGAACTTTAATTTAGTGCCCTTTTCAGGCATTACAGGTAAAAACGGTTTGTTTTCACCACAAATTTTTTTATGTTCTTCTAGCGCCTCAACTCCACGTAGTTTATACTTTTTAGGTACATTATTAAAGCCCGTGAAACACCGTTTACAAAATATCCTTTTTGCCGTATTCTTTGTTATTTGTTATTCGACCAAAATCGGTAATATAAGTGTAATGGCTGTCACCCGCGGCGTTTGACACAATTAACAAATCAATATGGTCTTTACGTTCTTCAGCGGATAAACTAATTATTCGGGTTTATTATGTAAATCTTTCAATTTTAGTCCGTAAACATTGACTGAAGTATGCGGATTATTTTTTTCGAAAATTTTTATGTCTGAAATCGATGTTGGGAATGATAAACCGGAGAAATTATAAGAGTTTTCTATAGACTTATAGTTGTAACCTACTATATATTTGATATTACCAGTCACTTTTTTCGCCAATATAGCCCATTTGAAACATTGTTGATCTATATTTTGTGGGTTTATTACAGCATTTCTGTTTTTAATATCATACGGTAAATCAATGTAAGAACTCCCGCCTAAAGGCTGATATTTGTAAACACCCAGTAAAATACCGTCTATATTAGAAAACGAAAAATTACTACCTTTACTAGCATAGTTTTCCTGTTCTTCTAATAATTTTGTGTATGAAATATCCACAGCATGATCAATATCGTCCTCATTAATTATCTCATCGGCCGACGTTTTAAATGACCGNGATCAATATCGTCCTCATTAATTATCTCATCTGCCGACGTTTTAAATGACCGATTTTCATATTTGTTTTCATTATTCGGTACAGTATAAGTCGCCTCCAGTTTTAAGTTGAATTTTATCGGCCCCATTTCTTTAAGGCAGTCGCGTAATTTTTCAACTAAATCACCTCTTGTTGCTGACAAAAACGGTTGATACCCGACTACATTTTCAATATTTTTTTTATAAAACCATAAAATTTGACTATTTAATGATTCGCCCGTTTTATGAAAACCGCTCGTCGTAATGTCATGTAATCGTTTAGCCTTTACCCGTTTACTTTTAATCGTATTGTCGGTGTTACATTGTTTGCGACGTTTAGGACTAATTGCACTTGGGCCTGCCTGCATTCTCTCCGCAACATTTACATTTTCTAAAAACAAATAATCATATATTTATTTTAGAATATAAATTTTTAATAATATATTTTCTTTACTTACCACTTGTTGACATAGCTCTCGAATCAGTATGATTTCCTATAGCAATATTATAGTCCACACCATACTTTACGAGGTCTAAAATAATACACTTATATTAACACTCTACTAATGTATTTTCTCTTTACATATTACTATTTTACTAAATAATCAATTGTAATACTTACGGTGTATCTTTTGAACATGGCGTACAAGTCCACATTTGTCCGAAAAACTAGATGGGCATAAATAACACTTAAATCGTATACCATCATGGATTTTCCTATGTCTCATCAAACAGTTTTTGGCGACATACACTTTTTCACACTTGTCACAAGAAAACATTTTTAAGGTGTTTAACTGACACAACACTATTAATTTTACTCGAGTAATAATCCTTCTTTTATGCGGAAAAAACACATATTTTCATAGGGGGGTCAGCAAATCATAGGACACATATCCCCGTATACTAACTCTTTTCTTCATCACTTAAGTAATTTCACTTTAATATCATAATAATTAATTTTAAACTCTCGATTTCTAAATATTTGTATACAAATATATGTAATAGGTTATGTGTATACATGTTTTATACAATAACGATTACACATTAATGGCTATTAACAAACGCGATAGTATGACTGAATAATCAAAAAAGAATTTAATAAAATATTATTTCAAACGTATAAATATTTTCTCTATAATTAAAAAATAACTCAATTCTTATTAAATATTGTACATATTTATTTATTTACTAATAAATAGCATAATAATGATCACCTTATGATGAGTTTTATCATCGCCTCCCCTTCTATGTAGGGGTAAACTGTTGATTTACTGTTTTAATACATACGTTAGTCAAGTAAGGGGGCTCTTTATGACCAAAGGTCTACACATCACATAGCTATAGTGGGGTTTCGTTGGATTAATAGCCGCCGTCGCCGCTTGATTACACCTATCACTTTTCTGCATTCAAATATTTTCACATATCTCTAAAATTAGACAGTTTTCAAAATCCCCAAATTTTTCTATGATATATCAAAGTATACTGTATGATGTTCCATCTACCTAGGTATACTATGCATATACCAAGGTAACATGTACCATGGTATAACGAAATGCTATCTAAGAACGAGAAACATCGACCTTTCACCATATCCCACCGGCCGTTTACACCGCCCGTCCACCTATGGCAGGGTAAACCTACATCATGTAGGTGGGGGGACTATGCCTTTCACCATATCTCCTCGGCCGTTTACACAGGCCGACTACCTAGGGAGAGGAAACGGCCGGGGCCGTTTTGGGGGGTATGGAAATCATACTTTACACCCCTACTATAGGATGGACTTAAAAAGTACCTAATATTCAAAAAATATATATTATTTAAAAAAGTTAGAAAAAAAAATCTTAATATTGTTATATTTTAAAATATTGTTGAGTTATGAATAAATTGTATATTCAAGGACTTTTTAATTATAAATCATCATTAAAATAACAAAGTATACAGATTGATAGTTATTAAAACTATCATTCAACTTCTTTTAAAATAATAAAAATGTTGAGAAATTTTTTTTTTGACTTTTTTTANAAAATAATAAAAATGTTGAGAAATTTTTTTTTGACTTTTTTTAGTTTTATATAATTCTTGATTTATCACTCAATAAGTACTTTAGTACTCTACTTCAATTTATCTCTTATAAGAATGCAAACTTCATTTTTTTTAATGGTAACATATATACATATTTAAGTAAATAATATAATGGAAATAATCTAATTAAGGCAATTACTTGTCGATAACTATTTGGCCAATATAGTAAACAACAATAAATCAATAACCTAGTATGATCATATTAAAAAACGGTAGCACAGTGGGGTCGCGGCATAGTGGAGACATTGCATAGTTGGGTTCAGTATAGATTTAATCTGACAGTGATTAAAATCACTATCATAAGAAACGCTTCGATGCAAATCTGTAGATAGTGTTTAATTTTAAAAAATTGATGGATAATTGCAAAAGCAACATCAACTTCTATTAAAATAAAATACAAAACCCATAATT